AACAGAGCCATCACTTGGTAGGGAGAAGAACAGAGAAGATGGTCTTAGGATTATTTGTCGGGTAACTGGACTTTAAACATGAGAAAAACTTGAGTTCAGGTCGCCAAAAGACTTGCATAGAAGTTTAACAATCCCAATCCATGCTCTGTCAAAAAGTAAGCAAGTTTGCATCATAAGAGTAAATACAGACTTTATAAATTAGGGAAGACCACAGAGATGAAGACTGAGCAGCAGCTAAGAAAATAAATGGCGAGTAAAAGATAAAGAACTGAGGCTCAGCTGGCTACATGCTACCTTGAGAAAGCAAGAGTTGTATTGTACTTACTTACGAGGACACTATCAACAGCATGTTCCAGTTTGATTTCAAAAGAAGCTGTTTTTTATTCTCTTTACATACAGGCCACAACAAATTTCTTTGCCTAAACTACGCAAAATCAGTGACTGATTAATCAAACTTTCACATTCTTAGCTCAGGTATCACAAAGGATTATTTATCCATCTCCGTTAAACCAACTGAACCAATCATAGTTGGATAGCAGTGATAACATGAACTTTCCATAAAAATGAATTAATGGACTGCATAAACAGCACAACATTCTACACTAATTGTTTCTGGGTCACTACTTAAAAGAGCTATTTCATTAATTTTCAACACAGCAAGAAAATAGCAGGTTTGTGTGTCCAAAATATGGTTCACATTTATCTAATCACTAAAAGAAAATTGGTCATTTTCAGAATGTTCCACTGAAATCCTTACGTTTCTTTAACAAATACAAAATTTTCCACTATTTTAAGTGACAATTATTAAAACGCTTTAAAATTACAATTATTTATCAGAATTCTAGCCAACATCTATGATTTCCTCTAAAGACAGTACAAGCAGATCTTACAAAAAGCCTCTGCTAGCATACAGATAACAACAGAGGATTAATCATTTTTGCTATAGCAACCACTGCACTGCAATTACCACAGTGACATGAGAAGAATAGAAAAAGTAATAATGAAGAGCTCTTACTCGTTTGGAGCAATGTGTCAGCCAAGCAAGTTCAGAATTCACTAGGGCCCAGTTCTGTTCACCTTAATCAATTGAAATGCCATTTGTAATAAATATGTCACAAAGCATTTCTGATCTATTTTTTAAAGGCCAATACAAATGTGTCAATTGCTCATTATCCTTTGGCGAGGTTAATGGACAAATCATTGCTACCACGTAACAGAGGAGACTGCTACTTAGTTTTGAGGTTCCAATTTAGACAAAGTCTAAGGTCTATTATGTCACCATAAATATATATACACATGCTTTCACATATTTTTCCATTAACATATACACACACACAGAGGTATACACAGAAATGTAGTAGACCTGACAGATACACGTATACAGTGTACATTTGTGTATCTTTTTTACCAAAAAATGTGTCTTCATTATTTGATTACTTCAGGAACACTTGCTGCTAACATTACACTAGGATGTGACACTTACTCATGAGTCACCTAATTGTTTTTTTCCAGCTCCACTTATCTAAATAATTTCCACTTGATAGCTGTTGTTCAATCTGCTTAGTTTAACAAAGGAAACCTTACTCAAAATTAATTGCCTTTGGAGATTCTTAGTCAGTATCTTATTCAAAGCTCACCCATTTTTTCAAATAACAGGTAAGTACTTATGGCTGGAAAAGGTACTTCAAATAGAACTTTTGGAAGCAGGAAACAAGGTTAGACAAAGTCACCTTTTGAAACAAACCATCTTTTGCTAAGATGTAGGTATGATCAGCACAGCCTGGACTGCAGAAGTGCAAGAGCGCACAGTAGGAAGGTGGGTGTGAGCGAGCGGGCGGCAGCACCAGTGATGTACTCCCACGCTCACATCTGGGCTTGACATCATTCCAGAGTCAGGTATGCACGAAGTTCAGTAAGTGAGAAGTGGCAGAGAGTGAAAGTGCAGAGAAATATGGAATCCTTTGAGACCTTTAGCGAATGGCAAGGCTGGCACATCAGCTATGAGGTACAGAAAATGTCAAGAAAGGGGAAGAAGAGAGAGGCAGGCAACACAGAAATAAGACTGTAACAGGCTGTGAGTGCACACCGAACGTGTTTCCAGTCACAGCAGCCGTAGCCCAGTGCCAGCAGTGAAGAGGCAGGCAGCATGCATACAGCAAAGGGAGAGCACTATGGTATGTTATGCTTAGTGCATCACACATCACTTGGCAAAAACTACTTAGGTAGAAGGTAGTGCAATCTTCTAATGCATCTCATTTTACATTTTCATTGTGCTACTTTGATTTGTTGTGCAATGAAATTTCTTTCAGGCCTCATTACAAAGAGCCAAATTACTATTTCAGACTGCAAATCATCATACCTTAATTTCCTTTGACTTAAGACAATCAATATTTCATCATTTTTGTTGCTTTAAAAGTTTTTTTTTCTCCTACCAATTACTGTATAACCACTCTTACACAGAACTATTCAGCTGTAGGTAGGATTTTTTTGATAGTGGTGGGGTATTAGTCAACTTCCTTCAGCCTGCATTTCATAAAGAACATGGAATGTAGAATTATATCCCTTCATTTCTTATACATGTTGTTTTAGTACCATATTCACTTCAATATTTCCTAAAACTTTGTTCAATGAGAAAATAACTATTTGTTGCCTTTATTATTTTGAATCAATGCTGGGAAGATGAAGAAAAAAATATTTATGCACTACTCAATTTCATACCCACTGTTGTAACAGAAGAAAGATTAAAGTCGAACTAGTACTCATATAGTAAATTTGAAATCATAGTTATAAGTATTTCGATAGTTGTCAGAATAAACTTTGTTCCTCTATGAAAACACACGCATACATTTATAGCGCTCCTTTCACTCTCTTAGGAAAAATAATGGGCAAAAAGACCATCAAACCAGTTCCCACCCTTCACCCTGGGTGAGCTTGAGTGGACTGGCACGAAGAAAAAGGTGATGGTGTGTACAGAGCTGATCAGGAAGAAGAAGCAAGACCCTCATAATGCAAGATCTGTGCTGGGTGTTCTCTCAGAGATGAAACGGCTGAGAACTTTCAGCGTAACCAGCTCCAAAAAGTCAGCTTCTGAAAAGCTGGCATCTCCTCCCTTAGGTGATACTACTGATTCCTGGCCTCTCTATGCGCTTTGCAGTATATGCTGTTTCTCTACATTTATTTGCATGCACTTCTTAGGTCCCTGCACACATTTTCTCCCATTATATTAAATCTTACTAGAAAGATTGCTCCACTGTTGCATCACACGAGTGCACTGGCTGTGATTTTGGTGCTAAGTAGCAAAGCAGGGTACCAAAGAGCTGGTGACGACTTCCAAAGGGCAGCCCTCCGTGGCTGCACTGGCCATACCAGCCGTTGTGTTTCATAACCTTGGCTGCACCAAACCCCCCAGTGTACTGCACTGCCATAGCACCATGCGTCAACTTATTCACGTTTTCAAAATTTTAACTTTAACATTTGAACAGTTCCACTTTGCCTTGCTAGGATATCCCAGGGTTTATTATAACTCCTTTAATTATGATAAATGTCTAGAATTACAATATATGATTTGGGCTCATTAGGTACCAAACACAGAGATTAAATTATCCTACATAAAGATTTCTTTCCACATTGCCATCATTAAAAAAAATAATATAAAAAACCCAAACTGATTTCTACTTAATACCTATTGAGACACATTATTCAGAGCATCAGCTTGGAAAACGGTTACAAAAACCCCAGCATATTTAAATGTTTAACTGCAAAAAAAAATTAGTATTCTATTCTTTCCTTCAGATAGTCTACACACAAGTGTTTATGTCTGTAGATAACCAGTACAAGATTTTACAAAAACTTTTACATATACTTGAGAAAAGGTGTTGAACATTTCACGGGAGAACCTGGAGCACTGTTCAGCTTCTACCTTATTTCATTTACTGTAGAGCTGTAAACCCATCCACAGTTGCCAGCTGAGGATCCAAGGATAATGAACTATCCAGCTCAGGTGTCTTCAGTTACCCATCAGGAAACAGCTTTGCGAGAACTATTAAGAATAGTTCAAAGTGGCAGCGCAGTGCAAGAGAATCGGACTCAGCATCTAATACAGAGTCTGGCTTTTAATGTAAAAAACCATCATTTTCTTTAAAACAGATTTTAAATCAAAATGATGCAACAAGGCTACCATTTGGCAACATTTAAGACAGGCTCAGGCTCACCATTAACAAGAGTGTTGTACGGATATAGTAAATTAGTTCTTTAAGAAGCTGTTTACGCGCACTATTGTCAGTAGAACCAAGCCTGTGACACTTTCCCTTGGGTTGCAAAATTCTTACTTAATGCACAGAAAAAAAAGTATTTTTCGGACTACAAAACTGACATTTCCTGTTCGTAACATGACACACACACTGATAAGACACAGTTGACTGAAAAAGTACATTCTAATAGAAAAATACAGGCCTTCACTAACCCTTGCAAAAACTATTCATATGTACATCTAAGTTTTTCTTCTGTCCAAAAGTATTACAGATTTCTCAATTACAACCATTCAGATTTTACAAGGTTTAATTAATCTTTACACAAGTCATTTAAATTAATTTACGTTTTGGCTTTATTAGCTTGTAAAAGTGGAGAATTTATGAGCACTTACTCAAATAATGTCTTCTGAACAAGATTAGAGGGAAAAACCAAAATAATGACAAAAGTAAGTTTGGTGCTGTACCGTGCCTCAAAGCAACAGCACACGTCCTTGGGCGTGCCACTCAAAAGCAGATCCATGCAATGCAGAACATGCGGGAACAAGCAAAGTTGAATTTAGTTGAACTTATTAGCAATTATTCCCAGAGAGTTCAAGATTTACAGTGAAATACATACAAAACCTTCAAGAAAAAAAGTTTAAGAAAATGAATTTTAAAGCTAAACATCTTTCTTTGTTTTGTGATTTAGAGCAGCTAACCAAAATATGGAAAAGAAACACATTCGGGACAGTTTAGAAGAATCAAACTCACCAAAATCTGCAAACACGGACTGTCCAACAACTGTCACACCACTAGGCGCTTTCTTACTTCCAGCTTGAGAGAAGTTCCCATCCTATCAAACAAGACAAAGTTGATGGCTAAACTGAACTGTAGACCAAGTGATAAAGTTTGACTCTTGAACCAAAGAAAATACACACTGATAAAAAATGTTTAAGTAGATTAAATAGAGAGGAATCTCGGCTATGGAAAAAAATGCACTCTCTGAAAAGTGGGACTGAGTTTTTGCATTTCTAATCCTTCATGGAATCATATAGAAATCCAGTAACAGTAATATTCAGATACAATTGTCCATATATGTTGCTGCGTTATGAGAAAGAGATGCATTATTTCAGCAACATAATCTAAATCGTAATTAAGTGATTATGAATACTAATGTGCATTTATACATACTGACATGTGATTTTACAGATATATGTCATATATAGAAACGTACCTGCACACCTGTTAAAAATAGCTTCTGATTTTCCTTCTAATTAGGAAATAACTTGATTTTACATTATGTCTGCTTTAGATCTTGTTTAATTGTCCATTATTAAAACCTAGGCCTGCAGAAAACAATACTCCAGTATTTCATCAGCAACACAAGAGAAGAGCGCTGGATCACCGTTTATTGTAGAACCAGATCAACCTTGGAACAAAACCATTCAAAATGTTATGGTTTTGTAACTAAGCAAGATGACCTAAGGGTCACTTTTCTAGTTGCTACAGTCAGCTCGGATAAAGTGCTGTGCTCACAAGGATACGTAAAGCCATTGAGGCAAATGGTGCTGTTTCGTGGGTTATGTGTAGTTGTCCACATTGCTTACTCACATCACATTCAGTTTGTAGAGATTAATGCCACTGAAGATGCACCTCTGGAGACAGTTAGCACATGGACATTTGTCTATATATCTTGACCTTGACACATAATTTATAATGCCTTGATCACCACATACTAGCTTTAGCTGAAACCCGTAACAAAGTCACATCACTTTGTTCCCATGATTTAGAGTGTTGTAGTCCTTACAAAAATAAAAAATCACAGTTTTCCTCAACAGAAAACTGACTCTAATATTCAGTCTCAGTAAACCTGGACACTTGGTTGACTGACTGCAAATAAAAGAAATCCTTCTTTCTGAAGATAAGCAAATCTATGCATGCAGAACATGTAACGTATATTTAGAATACACAGAGAGTTTAGAAAATCCAAAATTCCTAAGACAATTAAAAACAAAACAAAACACCTATAGGAGACAGGTCAAATGCCTTATGTAGTCACTAACACTCAATCCCTCAAAAATTAAATTCATCAAAGTCAAAACTGCTTCATTTTTAAGTCTATATAAAAGCCAGAAATATGGAATTCATGACCTGGTGCTTAAAAAAAAAAAAAGAGAAAAGGGTGTCCAGTACAGCTTTCATTACTTTTTCCTAAAAGTCAGTATTTGAATATCTGGGCCACATTGTCACAGATAAGACCACATCTAAAGCGACTCACTGTGACACAATGGATCAATTTTCAGGTAAATAGAGCCTCAAAAAAACTTATTCTTTAGCTAACAAGAAACACATTAAGCACTTTCTGTTACAACAAAAAGTAAACTTTTAACATACACACAGTAATATTCTTAACCCTTTTATATAACAGATTTAGTATAAACGACACAACTTCAAATCAACTGATTTCATTAATTCTTATTAACAATGAGGTTCTTTACACTGACCAGGTTAAGCAATATAAAAGCAGAATCTTGATAAATAAATAACAAAACAAAATAATCCATTGATCTATTTCTCCTCAACCTTGAATTGTATTTGGTTAACATAGGACTCGGCATTTTCTCAACTGCAACTTGCGTGCCTGTGATAACGGTCACAAGTGAGACTTTTTTGAACGTGTGTCCCACAAAATCTTACTTAAGACCTGAAGTCATAGTTTTAAGAAAGCTTACTTAAAGAAATAAAATCTTTGAGAGAGCAAGAATAATAAAATCTGACCAGCTTAAACGCCTCTATGCAAATGCACACAGCATGGGAACAAAAGAGGAGCTAGAGATGCGTGTGTGCCTGCAGGACTACGGTGCCATTGGCATCACCAAGACATGGTGGGATGGCTCCTATGACTGGAGCGTGGGAATGGATGGATACACGCTCTTCAGAAAGGACAGGCAGGGGAGAAGAAGAGGGGGTGTGATCAGCTGGAGTCCATGGAGCTTCACCTGGGGATGGATGAGGAGCTGACCAAGAGCTTATGGGTTAGGGTTCTGTGATTCATAAATCACCACGCTAAGTGTCAGTAACCTCCTAGAACAGCTGGTGACAAACCAGGAGTCCTGCTGAGGCGCATGAAGGCAGCTTGATTGATTTACTTAGTAGTCATGTTAAAAAATCTGCACAGGAACTTATGCTGAGTAAAAGATCTCCTCCAGTGATATCCTGCAGTCTGAATGCAATAGTGCACTTAGTGCCTCTTGAGTTCCACTCCTTCCTGAAGCAAGGAACATCAAATTCCTTTTTGTTCCCTCCCTTTAAATATTTTCTGTGTTTTAACAGAATGGTTATTTGGGTTTTATCTCTTACCTTATTTACCCATGTCTCAAACCAAATGTTCTGTGAATTTGATGTAGTAAGGAACAAATCTGCAACGAAAAGTGTAAAAGAAAAAATATCTAACATTAGACTACACATAAAAATATTTGATCGCAATAAAGATATAAAATAGAACTTAATTAAAAATATATTACATGTACTTTATAAGTTATAAATATTGTATTCCAGCTATGTTTAGATACATATAAACATTACGCAAGAAAGATAAAAAAACAACCCCCCTCAACTATTTTCATCCCCACACTCTCCTGTATAAACAAATATACTTTCTGCCCTCAACTTCTGCATTTGTATAGTTTACACAAAAATTAAGTTAGCCTTGCATGAGACAGCAAGTGCTAGATGTTATATATCCACAAAGGCCTCAAAGCTAGGAAAAAAAAGTATACATAAGTTATATTTACAATATGTCAAAATTAAAAATAATAACACACCAATCATTCTTTTATTTTGGATATGTTGAATATTGCAACAGATATACTGTTGAGGGGAGGAGAAAAGGAGACGGAGAAATATTTCAGGCTTCCTCAACACAAATTCTCTTAAACATTAAAATAGTGCAAAAGAATACTTCAGAGGATTTCTCTAAAAATACCAACTTAAAGGGGCTTATTCATTTTTCTAAATTGTCATTTAGGAAAACACTCGAATTAGGAAAATGGGGTAAAAAAGCTTTATAAAAAGAGGTTAAAAAAGGGGAGGGGGGGTGTTAGAGAAAAAAAAACAGCCTAAGGGGTCCAGATTTTAAGAAAACTACTCTTTTGCATTTAAGCACTTGTTTTCTTTTTCATTGTCCTCCTTTCCACCCTGCAATTTAAAATATCACTATTTTAGTTTGAACACAACGGTTACTTTGTAGGCAGAAAAAAAAAAGTATCAAAAAAAGAAGATATATTAACACTTTACCCTGAGGAGGCTTACTGAATAAGTAGGTGGACTGCTGTACAGAGCATTACAAATGGCACAATAAGGGGTATTGTCTTCCAGGAAAAAAATCAAAACCAAGACCACATACACACACAGAAAAAACCCAAACCAAAGATTTTGCTCACAGGTTTCTTCCCACTCCCCTGCTTGAAAGTCATACCATTTAATTTTAGTCCCCCGAATACCTGAAATGGCAATTTCCTTTAGAGCATACACATGAAAAGAATGACCAGTACATAAAGGGTGGCTGCCAAGAAGATGGAGACTCCCTTTTCACAAGGAGTCCCATGGAAAAGACGAGGGGTCATGGACACAAGTTGCTTCTGGAGAGATTCTGACTGAACTCCAGAAGAAATTCTTTTACCATGAAATCAGACATTGGAACAATCTCCAGGGGAAGTGGTGAATTCCCCTACACTGGTCAGTTTTCAGAGTCAGCTTGACAGGGTGCTGACTCATCTCATTTAAACGATACTGTTACCTTGAGAGGTTGGACTGGATGATCCTTGTGGTCCCTTCCAACCTGGCATTCTATGATTCTATGATATTGCGCTTCACCAGAATTAATTAAATTAATACTTAATTGACACTTTAGTATATATACGTAATTGTATATATATTTATTGTATATACACTTTATTGATACTTAAACATTTCTTGATGGCAAGAGATAGAAGTAGCAGAAACAATCTGAAGATATCATACATGTAACTTAGAAAACATAAACTTGCAAATTTTAACTTTGCATGTAGAAGGAACTTTGTGCAATATTGTTTATTACCAGAGTAATATTAATAATATAAACCAGAAAATATTTAAAAATTTAAATACATTCACAGGAGAGGAAAAAAACCAAAACATGGAACAACAGGATCCTGAACCCAGGCCTAGATGCCACTAAATATTTGAAAAATGTTTTTGAGGTTCAAGTAAGTATTTCATGTCAGGTTGTGGTATATTCATGCTGTAATTTGTACTACAATTGCAACTACATATGGGCTACCTTGCATACAGATTACACCACGATAGGTTCTTTAAGTGTTACATATAAATATCGCAGGTTGCCCAGCCATTTTGGTTGGCACCAGAACTGTTTTCCCTCCACAGCCCTGACTCGGTTTCCCCACTGCAGAGCTGACCTCTCGCCTTTAATTGCTAAATCAGTCCTCCCTCTGCAAGGAGAGATCTTTAACTCAGCGTTCCCTCTGGTAATGCTATCTTTATACGTGTTTTGCGACTCCATCCCATAATTAGACAAAATGGCACAGCTGCCAACACAAGACATAATTCATCCAGTAGTATTATGCTAGAAATTCAGCTCTGAACGGTTGGTTATTACTAGGTTAAATAAATGCATCAAGTTTTTACGCAACACAATTATGCTTCTAGGGTGGAAACAACAAACACAAAAGGCAGATATAAGTTATGCTGGGGGTATTACAAACTCCTTAGCTCTAAATCATTTATTTAAGGTGAAAACAAAGTTCATTAAAATAAAAACAGCAAAAGCAAAACAGTACTATCTCTTAACTAACTGAGCATGAGATAGAATTCCATTTAACAATTATTCTTAATTTTAAAACCTATACTACTGCAGCATACTATGATAAGTAATGAGCAAAAAGAAAAATAAAAATTCTTCAGTGGCAAAAAGCAGTATCACCTATAGCTTCCTTACAATAGAGCTTTTTTGAATAAAGAGAAACGAACACCCTTAATATAGTAACGGGAAGTCATGTATAAGCACTGCTATGAATTGAACTACCTGAAGTAGTAATATATCTTGTTTTCATTTGAGCTTTACAGAGTAAATGTATCAGTTACAGCTCCTCAGAGAGACTCCGAAGGCTGGGTATTGTTCATCCCTGACAGAGTTACACAGGGCACAGAAAGGCACTCAGCGTGACAAGGCAACAGTGACAGCAAAGCTCACTGCAAAGCATCCCAACCTTGATTCTGAGACAGAGCCACGCCAAACTCACTCAAGCATTAGTGAATTGCTTGTACCAGAGTATCCATGATTACTCTGTATTGCACATATACACCTACTTTGTAAAAGCAGGCAACAAAAAGAGATTTGCAATGGATTTTTCTTATGCATTGAAAAAAATCAATTTCTTTTCCATTCGTAGTCTGAAGCATATTACATTAGTTGTTTTTCCCCTCATTTAATCTGATTTCATAGTAACTACATAGAAATATTCGGAAATATAACTGCGCAGGCGATTGAAGTAATATAGGAACGGTAAGGAGCAACAGACATGAAATCCTAGATGTTAGGATCAGAATCAAAAATAGCTTTAAAATAAACATTAAACTCTGAGGAAAAAAGGGATGAGAGTGCCAGGGTGGCTGGAATGTCACACAACTTAATAAAATCAAAGAATACATTTAGTTATCTGCAGTGTAGGAGGAATAAATCAGGATATTAAAGGCAAGTCTAACTACAAAGAGCTAGTAGAAAGCCGATAATTAAAAACATGTAAAATGTTTACTATGTTAAAAATGTGGAGGTGCTTATAGATTTAAGATCTTTGTTCAGCTGCTGTGCAAACCAGTTATTTTATTTTAATGTGAACACTTGTTCCACATCTTGAGAGGAGGAAAATAGAGCTGTGTTTTCAGAGGAGGCAATCCACCGTATATTTCTTTGGATCACAAGAGATCAGTGTTGAATATGGCCCTCTGCAGTAGCTTAAAGATTATTAAATTATGCAACGTGCCTCTTTTGCACTGTACTCCTGCCCACCCTCAAAACAGCTTCTCTTGAAAGTCAGTCCCTTTGCTCCTCTTCGTCCACTCTTTCGCTCCTTCTTTCCTGTAATGTTATATACAACAAACGGAACCAACGCACCAAAGCAGCTCCAAGGCTACTGTAACATTACACTGCCCTGGTAAAATGCAAAGGCAGGCAAAGATGCAGCTAATCTTTCAGAAATAGTATAGAGGAGCCAGCGCTGTACTGCTCCCAAGTTCAAGCACCAAGCTGTGATTTCCCACAGGAACAGGTGGGCACAGACACCTCTAGTGCCAGAGCCAGCTGAACCACCTCGGCTGGTACCTGGTGCCAACTGTCCTCCTCTGCATCCTTAAGCCTTCTTTAGAAGCTACGCGTCTCAAATGCCCTTGCACGTTTTTCTGATTAAGAGCTCTTGCACTGACATCAAACTGAATGCTCAGTATTTAGAAGCAATTTTCCATTTTGATCAAGAATATCAGAGATTTCAAAGCAAGCAAAACTAAAAGATTTCTTTGCAGCAGCAGGGTAAAAATGCAATGTAATTTAGACACTCCAAATAACCGTTTACAAATTTGTATAGTTCAGAATTACGAATGTTTTGTTCAAGTTTTTAGGAAAGAAATCTATGAGAAAAACCAAGCCCTGCCAGGTACAATGTTTTAGACCAGAACATTTCCAAAGGTTACTTCCAATCTAACTAATTCTGTGATTCCATCTGGCTTTATTATGTAAGATTTTGTCCCCAAGAGCCAAAAACATATGAGATGGGAAAGTATTAAGAATCTGTGCAATTTATAAATACCTTTTTCTATACAGCCATAGCAAAAACTCCTTGCAAGCCCCTCATGGCCAAAGGAACGTTGTTCACGGCAGGCATCTTTCACCACTATTGCTATAGCTTTCTGTATCTACTACAACTGCATTCCTTAATATTCAAGGGCTGCAGGAGAAGAGATGGAGCTAACAAATGCATTGTATCTGTATGTTCAGTACTTGGATTACACAACAACAAAGACGCTCACAGTTAATTTCTACACTTCTTGTATACACTAATAATCTTGAAAACAGCAGCATATTTGTTTTGCTTCTGGCTATATCAAGAAAACTCAACCCCCTTTTCCTACAAGGAATGCCTATCATACTACATGGGCTCAGGAAAGTCGCTTCTCTAAAGATATGCTGCCACATTGCCTTTGGAAAGCAGTTCTGATTGCAATTTCAGCCACAGAAAAGAAAATCATTTGTACACAGATCTCTAAGTTTAAGAAGCATAGATAAAAGTATTGACTATTGATACTGCTCTGTTCAAATGCTGATGAACCTAACAGCACAATGCAAGATATTTACAACCAGAGGTTATAA